AGCTGTAGCTTCCAGATACTCTTCAAGGGTAGCCCCATGTAGATTTCATGCAAAGATTTAAAAGTTCCTTTGATGATACCATACGACACCTAACTGCCAGCTGTGAGATCTGCAAATTTGGGCAAGGTCAGAGTAGAGTGCGGCTATACATACAGGTAGTCCTCAATTTATGACCACAGTAGGGACTGGAAAATTCATTGTTAAGTAGTATGATCGTTAAGTGAGGCATCACGTGACCACACCTGATTTTACAACATTTTTTGAGGTGGTTGTTAAGTGAATCATCATGGTTGTTAAGCAAACCACAGTGGTCATTAACTGAATCACATGGTCATTAAGCAAATCATGCAGTTTCCCATTGATTTTACTTGTTGGAAGCCAGCTGGGAAGGTCACAAATGGTGATCACGTGACTCCGGGATGCTGCAACTGTCATAAATACATGCTGGTTGCCAAGCACCTGAATTCTGATCATGTGACCGCGGGGATGCTGCAATGGTCGTAAGCACAAGGACCAGTCATAAGTCACTTTTTTCAGTGCCGTTGTAACTTCAAAAGATCGCTAAATGAATGGTCGTAAGTTGAGGACTACCTGTATAACAATTTAAAATGTTTAAATTGCCAGAGATGTGGGGTGGAATGATTTGTCTCTGACTGACCAATTTGGAGAAGGATTTGCTGATGAGCTGAAAGATGAATTGATGAGGCAAGGTACCCCACATAATTTGGAAGACCTATTCCAACATTGTGTGATAATAGATGGATGACCAGAAGAGTTGAGGCAGGGGAGAAATGACAAGGAGAAGAGGTTTTACAGCCTCTCTTTTTTCATAGACCTCCTCCCAGTGGCCTGTTCAGAATCCAATGCAGGAGAGCCTATGTAAATCGGAGCAGCCAATAGATCCATGTCACTAGGAGAGAAACAAAGAAAAGGAGATCTACATTCATGCTTTTACTGTGGAGCCCTTAGTAAAACAGTCCTCTAGTTTATATACATTTTGATTGCTGCAGGTTCTGACATTAGGCATATAGCCAGATCATGCACAGCTAAAATCCAAACCCCTGATTTAGGGACAAAATGCAGAAATGTAACTCTGTGGAGCACATAGTGAGCAATGCCCAACTTGCTTCAAGGCAGCAGTGTCAGAAACTTCACAGGGCCCTCTCCCAAGAATTCCAAAGAGGACCCATAGCAACTAAGGAGAACTCAGATGGCCGAGAACAGGCAAGCACATTTTATTGCTCCTGTTACTCCTTGGTTAGATTCAGGCCAGAGAATAAACTCTGCTCTTTTGGACTGAGGAGAAACCACTAATGTCATATATGAAGCCTTGATAATAAAATTGCCACCTACAGTAGACTCTCAAGAAGACTATGATGGCAGAGATAATAGATGACATTGACCACAGGGCTGGTGTTGCAATGCACTAATCCTGCTGAAGGTATACAGATGGATCCTGCAAAGGTATAGTCCATAACGTGATGGCACCCCCCCCCCTTAATGTGAAAGACATACTTTCTGAGCTTTGCTAATTTCTATTAGAAGTTTATCCCTAATTTTGCAGACCACATAAGGCTGTCTTAACTCCTAAAACAGGGTTGTAAGTTCACGTAGTCTACTCAAAAGCAGACAGCATATCAAAAATGGAAAGATCTCTTCACAGTTGCTGCTCAGGCACTGAGACCCTACCCACCAGTTAGTAGTGTAGACTGACACTTCAGATGTGGTGGTTGGAGCAATTCTCCTTCAGGCAAAGAAGGAAAGGGGAACATATTTCTGACCATGAGCAATTTACTCCTGGTTGCTTCTACTAGCAAAAAGGAAATATGACATCTTCAGTGAGCAGTTGTTGGCACAATGGAGGCACTTTTTGGAAGGGGCTGCCTACCCAGTACAAGTACACCAGACCACAAGAATTTAGAAGTTCTGCAGACAGCACAATCCCTCACTCCTCGACAAATCAGGTGGACACTTTTTTTCTCTCTTTTTGATTTTTATATTTCTTATCTCCTGGCTCATAGAACAAACTTCTAGATGCCCTATCATGTAAGCCTGAATATGACCTCTCCTACTCACCTCCCCCAACCACCATACTGAAACTAAGCAACTTTGAGTCCCCCAGAGGTCAGATCCTCCAGAAAAACTGGAAGCGGGGAGGCAGGCTTTGATCTCTTAGATCAGATTAAAGCTTAGCATTAGCATGATGCTTATGCCAGTGCTCAGATGGATGATCTCCAAGGAGACTTGCAAGACAATTTATCACTTTTCATGGTAAAGGGGCAGGTGTTGCACAATGGATGTTTGTATGTCCTGCTTCCTTTAAGAGAACAACTTTACCACAAGAATAGAATGGCCAGACATGTGTATGTGTGTGTGTGCATGCACACGTGTTTAAGATTAGAATCACATCCTTAGGGACTTATGGTATTCAAGAGTGAGGGCAGATATCAGGGATTGTGTTTCATCTGGTCATGTCTGTCACAGAGCAAAATCTATACCTGTTCTTGCTGCAGTCTCTAGATGCCCCTTCATGATCCTGGGACACAGTATCACTGGATTTTATTACTGATTTCCCCACGATAGAGGAATATACCAGCATTCTAGTAGTAGTGGATCTGTTTACCATTTGATCCCTTGCAAAGGCCTCCCCACAGCTCAAGAAACAACACAGCTTTTTTTGGACAACATTTTTAGATACAGAAGTCTAGTCAATCATGTCATTTCAGATTGCAGGTCGCAATTTACATCCAGGTTTTGGAAAGCCTCTTCCACTTATTAAAAATTAAAATTCATTTGTCATCCTTGCATCATCTAACATCTAATGGAAAGGCTGAGAGAGTGAACCAATTATTCCAGCAATATTTAAGATGCTACATCTCCTATTGACATGACAACTGGACTGAAATATTGCAGTTTGCAGAATTTGCCTACAACAGTTCAGTACATTCCTCCATCGGCATGTCTCCATTTCAGGTGACTTACAGTTACCACTCCCATGTGTTGTCCTCTGCAACTCAGAAATTAACAGTTCCCATGCCTCAGATTTCATGCAGGAGAGGCAAGCGGCCTAGTGCCTGTTGAAGAGGCAGCTGGATCTGGTACAGGTGGCATGCAAAGGGGCTGGAGCCACACACAGGCAGGAGAGGTAAGGATTGCCAAGGGGGATCTGGCGTGGTTTTATACAAAACCCTTGTCATCTGCCCAACCAGGGAAGAAGCTTGACTCAAAGGTTGTTGGCTCCTTCCCAGAGATTAGATCTTGTAGTCTTCCATTTGCAACTTCCAGTATCAATGAAGGTTTAGCCTGTTTTCTATCATTGCTTATGAGAGAAACACTCCCCCACTGCACTTGGCAAACTAGAAGCACTCCGCCTTCCCCTCTCCTGGTGGATGGAGTTGAAGAGTATGAAGTGGAGGCTATTATGGACTTGAAGCACAAGGGAAAATTTTGGAATATCTGACCTAGCGGAAAGGCTATTCAAAGTCAGAGGGATATGCATGCCCCACAATTGATGATTAGTTTCACTTGCAATGTCCAGGAAAACTGGTCACATGAACTGCCACCATTAAAAAAGACTTGGGCATCCCAGAATGACCAAGGTTCTGACTTCTCTGGGTTGGGGAGAACACAGAGCAGACAAGTGCACAAGTGGGGAACAGGGAAACTTTGCCAGCTCCAAAGACTGGACTGGGGGCAGGCAAGGACTGCCAGATGGCAGATGAAGATCAGGCTGCAAAGCAGGAATGGGGGAGAGTCACCTCTTGGGGTACAGTTGCATTACAGGACTTGTCCCCAGTGATCTAGGTTAGTTGCTGGCAGAGAAAGTGAGCAACACATCTGCAATTCGTTCCCAAGGCCCTGACATGGATTTTTCTGGGAACACAGGAAGGGGGGCCTGCAGTTGATGGAGGAGGTGATGTAGAGGGTAAAGAGGATGACCTTGAGGGAGAAAGAGAAGATCTGTTACCAAGGCAATGAGCAAATAAACATTGCAGAAACCTAGATGAGGGGGGAGGGGGCCAAAAGCATCTCAGATAGTCACCCCCCAATTCACATGAAGATAAAAAAGAGAGGAAGAGGAGAAGCACATCCAGACTTGCAAGATTCTGTTACAATAGCCAATCTTAGTAAAAGTAGTTTTAGGCACATCTGCAGTCTGTTTCTTGGTCTGGTCTACCTCATAGGGCTGACAATTGTGTTACAGGAGCTGTGAGGACTCAGCAGATGTTGAATGTAGATCTCCTGGAAAGAACTGGTGCTGAATCCTGGGCTTCAGTTAATGCTGTGATCTATGTTGAAGAAGTTTGTGCTCTGGTTCCCAGGCAGGTGATGGTGCACAGCGCCAAGACTAGTTGCTCATTTATGGCTAGAGAAATGGACTTGTTGGACTTGGAACTCCAGTGTGACTCTTACACTGTCTGCTATCAGTTTCATCATATATTTTTCATGACCATTTTTCCTTAACACCCCCTCTTGACCTGTCAATCTTTTAAACATACATATTCAGATAAATAAATTTTACATGCTTACCACTTATGTCTCAAAATGGGATGTGATCACTTTGTTAATATATACTGATCCATTGTTTTGTTTGGTGCTAATTTCACCCATGTATGCTCTTGATAATAATAACAATAATAAATATTGCAAAAGAAAGGTGCCAGTCCCCAACTTCAAGCATTTTCCTTCATGGGGACCTGAATCTTTATTCTGGGGAACTTCTTAAAGGGGGGTCTTGGCCCCCTCAGGGTTGTGTTATTTCCTTTTTCCTGCCTGGAGCACCCCCCCCCCCAAGTTATCTGCAGGCTCGCATCTCCTCTGGATCCAGATGGGGGGCTCA